TCCTGGACCGTGTAAAGGGCCGGGGAGAGACAAGGGTGGGCCAGGGGCCTGCCCTGGCTGCTACTCTGGGCCCCCACACGACCCCGGGACAGAGGCGACCGGAGCCCAGCGGGCTGGGTCCTTCCAAGGCGCGATGACAGTCCACCTGACTCGGAGGACTCCACGCAGCCCACCCCCCTCCTGCTCTCCCCACCTCCGCCCACGGCAGGTCAGGCACCTGCATCATGACGTGTAGCCCCCACGTGTGGTCCCGAGCACCAGGACTGACTGAGGCCCGAGGAAACTCCTACTTCCTGGCCTGAGCGTGTCCAGCAGCCGCGTGGTGATGGCTGCAGTTCAAGTACCTCTACCGAGGCTTGCAGTTACCCTGCATGGGAACAGCTGCAACCCTGCGCTACACCGGCCAGCCAATGTGCAGTTCCTCCACAAGCGCAACCAACGCCACTGCCTGCATTGACAAACTTGCTGCGACAGTTCCCGAGGCTCATCTCTGGTCATCTCCGCCAAGGCTGAGACGTCCCTTCACTGAGGCGACGGACAAAGGACGCCGCCTTTACGGACTCCGTCCCGGGGCGCCTCTGGAGAGATGGACAGAGGCCTGGCCCCTGCCCTGCACGCAGCTGACCCTGGTGCAGTCCCCCAAAGAGCAGCGGGGGTGACCCCCAAGCATAGCCGGGACAGCCGCGTCAAAAGAAAAACAGAAAAGCACCGAAGGCTCCTGGACGCCGGGTTTTCTCCAAATGCTCCCGTTGATCGTGCGGAAGCTCCCTGGGCGTTCACGCACCTCGAGTGACCAACACTGCTCCTGGAGGCTCTGGGCACTTCGGCAGGGAGGGGACACGTGTCGGGGCAACTATGGACACAGCCCTTAGCCACAATAAGCTTTCAAGCGATAAAACAGTGAAATCCAACTTTTCCAAAGGCAGCTCCTCGCAGGCTGGTGCACAGGGCCGGGAGCCGCCGTCCCCAGCACCGTGAGCATGTGTCCAGCATGTGTCCACCTGTCGGAGCGGCACGGGGAGCAGGCGGGTGTCCCAGAGCGGGGGCGGCAAGAGCTGGTCCCCGACCAGGAGGGGCTCCCAGCTCCCTCGGGCTGTCTCGGGGCAGGGGTGTGACTCCAGAGGCCCCGGTGTTGCCTGTGTCCCTGAAACCTTATCTCGATCAGCTCCGACTATAAATAATACAGGAAAGTTCAGCGACTCGAGGTGCTCCCTGAGTTAGCTCAAAAAAGCCAAGTTTTAAACACAACTTAGCTGGTCCCTTGAGGCCGTGAAAGTCTGATTCTATGCCTGTTTTGAACTGTCACTGTTCTTTAGTGGAGAGGATGGAATCAAGTCTCGCCCGCGAGCACGGAGATGCTGGGATCCCAGATGCTGGTTCTAATGATTTTCGGAAAGACTTTCCCGCAGCTGGAGAGACAGTCCAGCAGGCAAGGCGCTTGCCTAGAACACGGATGTCCCGGGCCCAATCCCTGGCGCCCACATGGTCTCCCTCGCACCAGATGGGCTGCTCCCTGAGCACCGCCAGGTGTGGCCCAAAAGACAAAGATCTCCTAAATCCTAATAATCCACCATTACCGAGAACACAGACAATGTGCCTGGTTAATACAAACCCACCAAGGCGAACCGAACGGGTGAGTCCAGAGGGGCTCCCTGCCACCTCCCCCACACACACCCCCAGGAAGCTTCTCTAGGGCACCAGGGTCAGCTGGAGGCGGAAGCAGGGGACACATAGGCACGCGGCCATCCTGGTTCAATCCCGGCAGCCCGTGTGGTCCCTGAGCAGTCAAGTGTGGCCCGAGGAACAGAAGGGACTGGCTGGAGGCGGAGCTGAGGAGAAGCACTTCCGTCCTCAGTGCCCGGCAGGCGCTGCCACCACGGAGGCCCAGAGCTGGTCCCAGAGCAGCTCCCGCTGGGCCAGCGCCCGCCCGCCCCAAGGGGCGACCCTCCCGGGGACGACCACCACCTTCCCGAAACAAAACAGCCCCGCGAGCGAGCGTTCCTAAACTCGACGCCATTCACTACAAAAGGGGTAAATCGGGACACACAGAAACCACGAAGACTCGCTCACTCGGGCCCGTCTGTGAGCACGCTGGGTCCGGGCCAGCGCTCCAGACGAAGGCACAGGCGGCCCTCGCATGCCCACGGGCGCCTCCCTCACTCCTCAGGGCGCCGGGGACATACGTGGGGCTCAGGCAGGACCCACGGCTTTCCCCTCTGCTGCGGGGAACCACACCGGGCTGTGCTCACGGCCCCCTCCAGGCGGGGGCAACCTGAACAGGCCAGCCGTGTGCTCAGTGAGCACCAAGGTGAACCCCCGGTACTCTCCCCCCAGCCCCTAGGGAAACACCCTTCCAAAGGAATGAGCCTTCGCTCAACAAGGAAAAGCAAACAGAGGAGTGTGCGGGCAAACTGCTCCGCCATCCATCAACAATGGCTGCTGTTCCTTTTTTTTTTTTTTTGCTTTTTGGATCACACCCGGCGATGCTCAGGGGTTACTCCTGGCTCAGGCACTCAGGAATTACTCCTGGAGGTACTCGGGGGACCATATGGGACGCTGGGAATCGAACCCGAGTAGGCCATGTTGGCGGCATACAAGGCAAACGCCCTACCCACTGTGCTGTCGCTCCAGCCCCCTGCCGTTCCTTTCAAATGGTCACAGTCCCCACCTACTTCAGAAGGTCCAACAGAAAACCACGGCTACGTAGGGGCTTTTCCAGACCATGAAAGAGGGTCTGAAGAACTTCGGAAAATTTTCTCCTGGGGCGGGAGCGACGGTGAGGCCGGGAGGGTGCTTGTCCCGTAGGGTTCCCCAAGCCCACGGGGTGATTCCCGAGCCATCAGGAGTGCCCAGAGCATCGCCGGATGGTCCAAAACGAAAGGAAGAGAGTGTCTTCTCCCATATGCTACAACCCTTAGAAATGTTCTTTTTCAAGTTAATTTTCCCCAGATAAGATCAAGGTCGTGCCTTGCACGCGGCCGACCCAGGTTCCATCTGTGCGTCCCGTATGGTCCCCCTGCCCGGAGTGATTCCCGAACACAGAGCCGGGAGGAACCCCTGCGCATCACTGCATGGGACCCAAAAACCAGAAAAATCACATTTCTTGTTATCAAGGTTTTGGGTTTGCTGCTTATTTCCCCCATTTTATCTGCCTGGTTGGCCTGGTGCTGGGAGGCTGCCTACTGGCCCTCGGGTGCAGACTGAACGTGGGTGTCCCCACACCCCACTGTGGACCCCTCTGATCCTAACAGCCTATTTAAAATGCAACATTTGGGGGTTTGTTTTGGGGTTTTTTTTTGGGGGGGGGGTCACAATGGGCACTGCTCAGGGCTGACTCCTGGGCTCTGCGTTCAGGAATCAGTCCTGGCAGTGTTCAGGGAACCACACAGATGCCGGGGATCGAACCTGGCTTCACCTCATACAAGTGGCTTACCAGCTGCACTCTATCTCTGGCCCTGAGGGCTTGGGAGATTTTTTATGGGGGGGAGGGGGATGACGCCCACCCCGAGGTGCTCAGAGGTCACTGCTTGCAGTCCCGGGGGTGGGGGACCATATGGGGTGCTGGAGTTTGAACCCAGGTCAGCTGTGTACAAGGCAAGCACCCCCCTTGCTGCAGTCTCTCCAGTCCCCAGACGAAAGCACCTTTGCCTTTTTTTTGGGGGGGGGGCGGAATCACACCCCGCCGTGCTCAGGGGAGCATATGGGATGTCAGAGACCAAACCCAGGTCAGCCGTGTGCAAGGCAGGTGCCCTACCCACTGACCCACTGTCCACCGCTGTGGCCCAGGGCAGGGGGGTGGAAGTTGGGGACCGAGCCCAGCAGAGCTCAGGGGCCATTCGGGGCAGACCTGGGGACCATGTAGGTACTGGGGGTTGACCTCGGCCTGCACTACCGGTACAGACGGACGAGGACCTGCCTGCTGGACTTTCTGGCCGCGTTCTCCCCCGGACAAGCACCTCACTCGGTCTCCACCTTCTCTCTCCCGCTCAACTGGAAACAGCCACGCTGGGCTCAACCGCCTTAACTAGGGGCGGAGGCACAACGCGGGGCCTGGGGGCTCCCCTTGCACTGGAGCGGGTGGCCAAGCACTGGACAAGAGGGCGCCCGAGCACTGGAGAAGGGGTGCCCCAGACCACCGGGGCAAGCCCCGGGCAGAGCCGGGGTGGGTGGCCCAAACCCTCGCTCACCCTGCTCAGGGGTCACCCCCGGCGGGCGGGGGCCAGGCGGGGTGCCGGGACCTCACCCGGGCCGGCGCCCCAGCAGAGCGCCCACGCGACCACGGCTCCCGCCCCCCAGCAGAAGAACAAAAGCCCCGAGTTCCCGCCCAGGCGGGGGCTCAGACGCGGGGGCGGGGGCGGGGGCCGGGGGCCACGTCCACCGCCCTCGCGGGGCAGCGCCCGGGGGCAGCGAGGCACCGGCCGCGGGACCCCAGCCCGGAGGGTCTCTGCCCCACGCGCCCCGGGGCCGGGCCAGCGCCGCCCCGCAACGGCCGCCGGGCGCGCGGGGCCGGGTGGGGGCGGGGCGGGGGTCCACGCAGGCGCCCCTCGCCCGGGGCCCCAAGCTGCGGCCGGACACGGCCCGGTCCGGCTCGGTTCGGTTCGGCCCGGCCCGGCCCCGGGTCGAGGCGGGAGTCCCGGGCGCCGTTACGGCCGCGCCCGCACGAGCCCGCAACGGCCGGCCCGGACCCCGGAACCACCCGACCCCGACCCGGGCCCAGAGCCCGGCCCAGAGCCCGGCCCAGAGCCCGGCCCGAATCCCGCCCCGGACCCCGAACCCGCCCCGGACCCCGACCCGGGCCTCGACCCGGACCCCGAACCCGCCCCGGGCCCCGCCCCGGACCCCGAACCCGCCCCGGGCCTCGACCCGGACCCCGAACCCGCCCCGGGCCTGGACCCGGGCCCAGAACCCGCCCCGGGCCTCCACCCGCGCCCCGAGCCCAGCCCGGCCCCCGCCCCGGCCCCGGCCCGCGCCCCGAACCCGCCCCGGCCCGGCCCGCTGACCCGGCTCGGGGTCCCGGCGGTCTCGGCGGTCGCGGCGCTCCCGGCGGCCCCTCGCGCTTTCCTTTCTCTCCTTTCTCCACAACAAACAGGAAGTGCGTCACGCGGCAGCGGCGCGCGCCGACGCCACTTCCGCCCGGCCCTGACGCCGCGCGTGCGCGCGCCGCTGCCCGGCCCCGGCGCTTCCGGGCAGCCGCGGGGGCGGGAACGCGGCGTTGCCGGGCGACGGGCCGGGTGCTCGGCCGGAGGCGCGGGGGCGGAGTCACCCTCCCCCTGCTGCAGGTGGGGGGCGGGGGCCGGGGCAGGTGGGTCGCCCCTCCCCCTCCTGCAGGTGGGGGCGGGGCAGGTGGGTCCTCCCGTCCCCTGCTGCAGGTGGGGGGCCGGGGCAGGTGGGGGACAGGGCAGGTGAGTCACCCCTCCCCCTCCTGCTGGTGGGGGCGGGGCAGGTGGATCCTCCCGTCCCCTGCTGCAGGTGGGGGCCGAAGGGGGGTGGGGGGGGGGGAATAGGGCAGGTGGGTCGCCCCTCCCCCTCCTTCAGGTGGGGGCGGGGCAGGTGAGTCACCCCTCCCCTTCTGCAGGTGGGGGGGCGGGGGCCGGGGCAGGTGGGTCATCCCATCCCCTGCAGCAGGTGGTGGCACCTGGGAACCACCCCAAGTGCACGGTGGGGAGAAAAGACCCACCTGGGGGTCCCGTTGAGCTCCACAACTGCAGGCCCGGAGCTGAGGCCAGGGGCCGGGGCAAGGGCCGCCTTGGACCCAGGAAAGGGCCCAGGCCGCTCGGGGCTGCTCCCAGGAGGAGGCCCCGTTAACGGCGACCGGGTCGAGAGTTGGGGACAGAGGCGTGATGAGAAACGTCCAGACTTAACCTTCCCCAAGAGGCTCAGCTCCCTCCACTCAGGGAAACGCCCCCCCCCCCCCCCCCCCGCAGCCCCCTTGGTCCGGTTCTTCTCCGCCTTGTTTCTGGGAGGGCCGGGGCAGGCGGGACACCCTGAGTGAGCCCGAGGCCCGGCTCTGCTGCCAGGAGCAGCTCCTTGCCCAGCCTGGCTCCACCTCTGGGCAGGTCCTGGCCGTCCTCGGGGTCGGGCAGGCAAGTGGGGGCTCTGGGCGAGGGGGGGGGGGGATGCGGGAGGAGCACTGTCCTCTACCCGCTGTCCCCAAGGAAGAGCCCGGGAGTCCAGGATGGGGAGTCCGCCCTCCACAGAGGGGGTCTCCTCACCTTCCCCAGGTCTTGGGGTTTCCTCACCTTCCCTCACAGCGCTTGGGGGGGACACAGCGGTGAATTCAGGGTGGACCAGGGAAGGGCAGCAGAGGCAGACTGGGTGACTCCAGAAGGGAGACTCGGCCGCGCTGCCCCCCAGTCCCGAGGGCCGAGAGTCTAGATATTCCCTTCCGGCCTCCTCCCGGGGAATTCTGCATCTCAATGGCTTTCCGGACTCCTGACCCGACTGTGTTGAGTGTCCCGCCTCGGATGGTTCCGGTCCCCACTTCACACGAGCCCCACCTCCACCCCACACCTGCTCCTTCGCTCTGGGGGTCCTGACCCCCACCCACAACACCCCTCCCAGTTAAACGGAAGACCAGTAAGCAGAGGGAAGCCAGCAGGGCCGGCCAGAGGCAGTGGGGGAGGGAGGTTGCAGGAGTTTGGCAAGAGCCGGCTTGCAGAAGCCCTGGCGGCAGGTCGACGGGCGGGAGAGGCCCCATGGCACTGCGACTTCTCATACAAGGAAACTTCTGGGAAGCCGAAAGTCACTAGCCCTAAGCGGACCCACCCAGTGGATACTGAAAGCAAGACCTGATAGGACCTTCCCCTGCCAGGACCCTGAGGAGACTGGACTCCTCCCTACAGAAAGAGCTTGAAGCAAATTACTCAGAGCCCTGATCCCTTCCTCTAATCCCATTAACCCTCGGCTAGTCCGACCAGAGGATGCTGGACCCATCCTCCGAGGGAAGTTCAGCAGGACCAAAGGTCAAGAAAAGGAGTTTCAAAGGCCACACACTCAGCAGCAACCCTGGCAACAGACTCCGTGTGTGTGTGTGTGTGTGTGTGTGTGTGTCCTTTCGACTTTTTTATTGAATCCCTGTGAAGTAGACCATTACAAAGCTGGATTTCAGTCATACAGTGTTCCAACACCCATCCGTCCACCAGTGCACATTTCCCAGTCCAAGTGTCCCCAGGTTCCCTCCCATCACCCCCCCACCCCTGCCTACCTCTATAGCGGGACCTCTCCCCCCTTCTCTCTCTCTTCTCTCTCCCTCTCCCTCTCTCTCCCCCTCTCTCCTCTCTTCTCTCTCCCTCTCCTCCTTTCCTCCTCCCTCTCTCCCTCTTCCCCCTCCCTCCCTCTCCCTGCCTTTGGGCCTTGTGGTAGCAACAGACCCTTGGCTAGCTAGAAAGCCCCAAGTGAAGGGCTTGGAGAAACCCTACGAATCACCTTGAACAAAGGGAGTGCACGCATGTGCTGCCCGAGCCCATGTGCTGCTTGTGCCCACGTGGCCGAGCACATGTGGTGCCCACATCTCCCCTCTTGAGGGGTGGACTTTCCTCTGCTGGGCTGTGTGTTGGGCCTTCTTTGTTCTTTGCCACTGGGGAAGCCTGTGCTCTCTCGAGCGCGGTCCTCTTTCTCTCTCTCTCCCACTTTTCTCTTCCTCCTCCCCTTCAAAAACCCCCAAATACAATCTGTTTTACTTCACTGCTTGTCTACTCCTGAAACTCTTTTCTGCGAGGCGAGACAAGAACCCAGTAACCCTGGGTCCCGGGTGGCAGAAGAGGCGGATGGGGAGAAAGTGACCGTCTCTCCCTCTCTCCTCCCTGCACCACATAAGCCACCATGGGGCCCACCGACATCAGAAGGACCCAGAGGCAGGACAGGAGGAAGGCACCGGCCACGCACACACACCCCAGGTTCAATCCCGCACTGTCTATGGTCCCCAAACACCGAGTGATGCTGAGCACCAAGCCAGGAGTGAGCCCTTGAGAAGTGCTGGGTGCGGCCAAATCTGGCCCCCCCCAAATGATTTTAATGGGTCAGAGCAGCAGTACGGGGTGGGGGGGGAGGCGCTTCCCTTGCCTGCTGCTGACCCGGTTCCATCCCCGGCACCCCATATGGTTCCCTGGGTCCTGCCAGGAGTGATCCCTGAGTACAGAGCCAGGAGCAAACCCTGAGTGTCAGGTATGGACTGGCCAAAAAAAAAAATCCAGATTTAGGGGCTGGAGCAATAGTACGGCGGGCAGGGCGTTTGCCTTGCGTGCAGCCGACTCGGTTCAACCCCTGGTATCCCACACGGTCCCCCGTGCACGGCCAAGAGTAACCCTCAGTGCAGGGCCAGGAGTAAGCCCCGAGGATTGCTGGGAGTAGCCCCAAAACCAGAACAAATAAATAGCAAACGTTGGATCAGTCACAAGTAGCTTGCTGAGCTGGAGAGACAGTAAGGCAGGCAGGGCACGCCCCTTGCACATAGCCAGCCCAGCTTCGATTCCTGGCACCCCGAATGGTCCCCTGATCCCCTCCAGGAGTGATCCCTGAGCACAGCCAGGAGTCCGCCCTGAGCACTGCCCTGGTGTAGCCCCCAAACAAAAAGACGAACAGAAAAGGACTTGCCCTAAAACGCTGGCGCAGGTGGTGGGACCGGACGGTCCTGTTGAGGGAATTCACCTCACACGGAACAAGGACAGCCCGCGGGGTGGACGGTGCCGGGCAGGAAGGACGACAGCAGGCTGGGGAGGAAGCAGGTCACTTTCCCGGGTCAAGGACCTGGGGCAGCCGGTTGAGAGGCCCAGGGGAGGGCAGCAGGCGGGCGGGGGCGGGCAGGACACCCCACACACACCTACAGGCGAAGGAAGCTGCCACTGCCGTTAGGGAGGCCACGCGGTGGCACCCTGCACTCCGGGGGCCACCTCGGCTCTCCTGCCTGGCAGATGGGGCCCTTGGCACATGGCACGGCGCCACACGCCTGCCAGCCCTCGCCTGGCGCCCCCCCGCGGACGCAGCTCTTCTGCTCAGGCCTCCGGGGGAAACTGCCAACGGCGGGGCTGGTGCCGGGGCACTCGAGGACGGAGCCCAGCCCGGCTCCGGAAGCCCAGGCTTGACCCAAGCCCCGCATGGCCTTGGGACTCGGACGCCACTCAATATCGCCACACAAACCCCAGCCTCGGGCTTCTCACCAGGAACCGTGAGCGCACACACACACACACACACACACACACCACTCACACACGCCATTCACACACATCCATACACTCACACCATTCACATACACACATACACTCACACATACACTCACACACGTACACTCACACTTGCACATACATAGACCCACACATACACACATATTCACAGTCAACACATACATACGCTCACATATACACATATACACAGATACACACATTTACACTCATACACACACATACACACACACATACTCGCACATACATACATTCACACACACTCGCACATACATACACTCACACATACACACATACAGTCAACACATACATACACTCACACACACATACACACACACTCACGCACTCATATGCACACATACAATCAGTCACACACACACTCATACGCACACATACACTCACACACACATACACTCACACACACACTCGCACACACATACACCCTTGCCAGCATCTCTAGAAGCCCAGGAGCCTTCGGTGAGACCCAAACAGCACATCAGCAAGACTTATTTTTATTTTTTTTGTTGTGGGTTTTTACCCAGTGGTGCTCAAGCTGACTCCCGGCTCTGTGCTCAGAGATCACTCCTGGTGGGGCTCAGGGCACCGTACGGGGTATCAGAGATCGAACTTGGGTCAGCCGCGTGCCAGGCAAACACCTTCCTCTGGCCAGAATCCCCTTGTACTAACCCGTGTACAAGGCCTGAGGCACTAGCCTTACATGCAATGGACCCTGTTCTATCCCAGGCCCAGAGGTAAAGGGACACACACTCACACTGACACATTCACAGAAGCACACCCACACACTCACAGACTCAAACACGCTTGCACTCAGACACACACACTCACACACACTCTTGCATCACACAGACACACACATTCACACAGAGACATTAACACA